GTTCCATCCTTTATGTTTCTCTTATAGGATCTTGTTGCTACTGGTTCTCCATACTCTACCTCGAGTGTTGATAAAAATGTATTTAATTGTTCCTGTTTGCTTGCTGCCATAGCATTATATGGACGTCTTCCTTTATTCTCATGGGAAGGTGGAGAGGCAGACTTTCTAGAGTGTAGGTGACTTAGTAGTCTACGTACTTGAGATTTTCCCAGCATCCAGTACCAACAGAAAAACCCATGGCAGACAGGTCCAATAAATGGAACCACGTAGTGATTCCGACGGATTCGGGTTGTTGCCTCTTGTTGACTATCTTCCATTTCCACATAGGATCGCTTATTATATTTTCTGGTACCATGTGGCTTCACAGGTACCATTGTACTAGCAATAAGATAGCTAGCAAGAAGCTTCCGTTGAGATAGAGGCATAGCACATGTTGTTTCCATCCATGTTAGCCATTGATCATGAGATGCCTTTTTTGTACACTCATTCTTGCAAGAGCATACATCATCAATCTTTGAAAGATGAGGTACATATTGTTCTAACAGCAGAGTATAGCTCTGCCTGGTATCTTCTTCAACTAAGTCTGGTTTGAGATTTATATTGACTTCTGATCCTGAGTCTAGGAATAGATTAGTATCAAATTTTCATCTTAAATTAGCTACTGATTTGACTGTAAGCTATTTAGTTTTACAATATGAATTACAAACCTAAGAATTCCCATTCATCATCTAGTTCTGATTCATACTCAGATTCCACTTCATCCATTGTTGATATGGAAATAGAACCTTCTAAATCACTATAATTATCTGCATCTGATACTAGTGACATAATTACAGTCCTCTAATAGATTGACAACTTCTAGATATTTTTCTGATTCATATTAGTGAATGGACATAAAATGATAGTTATAATCAAAGAATATACTAGTATTACTACGTACAGGAACTGGGGTAATTGCTTTCAGATTGGTAATTGAAGATATGAGTTTGCAAGCTGAATTAGCTGCGGGTACAGGTAGAATAAAGCTAAGAATGAAGAGAGAGGTTGCAGAAAATTGTGAAGACAGACTCCTAAGTTTACATAAGCAGGATACTCTGGTTGCATGTAGTCTATATTGCAGTTACAGATTGTAACAAAAAAATATCGCTCAGGTTTAAACTGAAATAACACAACAACCACTTGACAATCAAGGAATATTATTTATTGTACTTTTAGACAAGATATAAGGGTTATTTTAGATGGTAAAAAGTTCATTTTTGAAATTTTGAGTTTTTTGGACATAAAACATGCTACAGAGGTCATTTGGAGTTCTGAAATATTTTCTGAGCAACTGTATATCAACTTTATATTACTAGCTATCTAGTTAGACTAAAATAAATGTTTTGTGGTTGAGGCCCGAGAGTCAGGTTTTCGCATATACAGGCTCAAATACAAATATATTGGTTATTAAATTATAAAATATTTTATATATGGTATAAGGCAATTCAAAATTGAAGGAGAAAATTCTAGTTAGTTATCATAAAGCAGTTATTTTAGGCTTAACTGTTGTGGCTGATGTAATAATTTTAACTCCTCTCACCAAAAATGCAAGATGTAAAAGCTAAATAGAGGCTTGTAAAAAAATCAACAAGCTTCAAAAAAACCAACAGGCTCTTCACAGCCATGTCGCCTTCAGTGCTGTGGTTTTTTTAAATTTTTAAGTGATTTTATTAAGGCTCCAGTATTGGCTCTATAAGATATAATAGTGTGGTACATATTTTAAAGTGCTTGAACCATATAAACTTGAATATGGTATATTGACATCTATATTTAAATCAATCTTGAGATAAATATCTTTTTCTTTTTCTCCATAGTTGACTACTTTTCTTCTGTAATAAAAAAGTTTACAAATAAAGTAATTTAATTAAAAGTTTATTTACTATGTAAAGTATATTTCTATTGTTTAAAATCTGTGAAAATATATTATTTATATGGTTTTTTTATTATAATTATTCTTATATTCTTAAGGCCACTCATGGTCCTCTATATTTTGTTGTTTTTGGCAATTCCTCCTCAATCAATGAAGCTTTTCTTGGCTACTCAATCATCTGGCCACCTTGTGACTATTCTTCTAAACTTGTGACAAGAATATGATCCTTACTAGAGTAGGTACTTACATCTTTACAGAGTTTTCTATTGTCTAGACTTGATATTAGTGTTGTAGAAGATACTGTATTGCATATTTATAATTTATCAATCCTGCACTTCTTTATATTAAACCTTTACCAATAACTAAAAGATAATATCTGTAAGCTATCTACTATAAGTTTTCTAGTATTAAATTTTGTTGTTTATTCAATAATAATTTATAGTACAGCTAGTCGTCAGAAGTGTTCGTGATGCTTAGTCAGCTACCTCGTGAAAAAAAGCCAGACTCTTGCGACTGTGATCATGACCGTGATCGCGACCGTGAACAACAACACAATTCATATAACCCACTCCTCAATTTATTTTTTCCTTTAACTATGGTTTACCGATCTGGATATGCAAACCCCCCGGCTCCAAAAAAAAAAAGAACTCCCAAAACCAAGTAAAGAGAGATGACCAACATTGAAAAAGGCATGATTATTGCCTTTTTCTACTGTCTCCGGAATATTCCCCTTGTTGCTCAAACTATTGGGCGCACCTGGACTACAGTTAAAAGCTTCCTTGCCCGAGCATGTGAGCGCCAATCACTAGAAAACATTCCTCGCCCCGGTCGTACTCTAGTTATTAGCCATCAGCAGCGTCACACAATCGTCCAGGCAGCCAAGTCCAACCGGAAAATGACCAGATCTGATTTCAGCGATAAATATGCACTGGGTATTTCCCTTTCTACAGGTAACACCTCAGCCCTGGTGCTACTATGAGTGATAGGATATGATTGACTAATAAGTACTGGTGAAATAGTTGATAGAGTACTCAGAGAAGTCAATATCAAGAAGTGGCTAGCCCAATCAAGACCAAAGCTTAAGCCTGAGCATGTGGCAAAGAGACTCAAGTGGGCTACAGTTCATAAAGACTAGACAGTGGAGGATTTTGAAGGAGTTATTTGGAGTGATGAGTGTAGTGTGGAGAAATCCAAGGATCCAAGACAACAATGGGTTTTCAGAGAACCTGAAGAGAAGTGGCTGTCTGATTGCATTCATCCTAAGGAGAAGGATAAGGGAATTTCTCTTATGGTTTGGGGGTGCTTTTGGGGGAAGAGAAAAGGTTCTTTGGTTCCTATTACTCAAAATATCAATAAGACCAGGTATGTTAGGCTCTTTAGAAGGTATCTTTTTCCTGTTATTCATCAAATAATCTCTTTTGGTATGCAAGATATTCTTTTTCAGCAAGACAATGCTCCTGTTCATAAGGCTTATAGTGTTATGGATTGGTTGGAGAAAAACTGTATTGAGGTTGAGGAACACCCCCCATATTCCCCTGATTTGAATCCTATTGAGCATGTATGGGTGGAGCTTAAAAAGTGATTGCACCAGCAGTATCCAAGGATTGGAGATACCCCAGGAGGAAAGAAAGCTGTTAAGAAAAGGCTTGCACATGTATTACCATTAGTTTGGGAGACAATTCCTGAGGAGTTTTTTGAGAAGTTGTGGAAATCAATACCTGATAGGGTGGCTGCAGTTTTGGAGGCAAGGGGAGGTTATACCAGGTATTGACTATTTTTATTATTTAATTTGCTTTACCATTCTCATGGTTAATAGTTTGTGCCCGTTGATCGTGGTTAATTGTTTGCTCCCGTTGATCGTGGTTCAAGTTAGTTGTTCACGCCCGTTGACAACCCCACTAATGCAACCTGGGAGCTATAGCGCAACCGTAATTAAACATGTCTCAGATCACGAACACTTCTGATGACTGACTGTATATATCCTTTATACAATAAAATTTAACAAAAAAATCATCTTTACTTTAACTACTTATAATATTCAAGTTATACTTATATACCCTATTGATTTTAAACCAGGTCCTACACATATCCAGAAAGCTCTAGTATTTTTCTATGACGAACCTTATTTTCCAGATATTTTATATTTTTGTACATAAACCAGGCTACAGAGGTCATTCGAACTTCAGAAATATTTTCTGAGCTTTTAGGAATATGCTTTAGAGAGCTATCTATATAGCCATACTAAAATAAATGTTTTGATATTGAAGGCCAATGTGTAGGTTTCTAAAAAACCATACTTATACTATTATAACTCTATATTTTTTATAATTAATCAGCTCATGCACGTTCTATTCTAATACTAAGACTACAAAAATTACATCAAATCTTAAGCTTTCAAGACATGTATACCATGCTTTCCAATCACTATTTTGAACTAAAACAACTATGTTTTTATTCTATATTACTTATCTGATATTTTGATATTTTTTTTAAATTATTTGAGTGTGGTTTTGTTGAAACCTACATATGGGCTTTTTTGGTTGTTACCAGGAAAACAGGTTTGAAGGGTGGCAATCAGAGAAAATCAATCTTGG